GGTCAGACCCTAGTAATTCATTTTATTATTTTTTTTCTAATAAGCAGGTTTACATGGATAGAATTCTTTTATATAAACTGAATATGGAATTATAAAGTGTGAGATAAAATAAACTGCGATAAATATGTTGCTTTTATTTCCTGCATATCAATCTTCTTAAATATTTTGGTGTTAACATATTTATATTTCAAGAGTCAGAATTTATATTTCAGCATTTATAGAAGTTGGCCCTTGAATATCCTTATGTGGAAATTTTAAAAAATCATATGCATAGCACAAGGCTTACCATTTTAACCATTTTAAGTGTACAGTACAGTTCAATAGCATTAAGTACATTCCTGTTGTTGGATGACCATCACCACCATCCATTTCCAGAACTTTTTTCACCTTCCCAAACTAAAATATACCTATTAAGCAATTACTCCCCATTCCCTTATCTTCCCACGCCTGGCAACTACCATTCTACTTTCTGTGTCTAAAAATTCGACTACTCTTGGTGCCTCATCTGAGTGGAATAGTACACTATTTGTTCGTTGGTTGCAGGCTTATTTCATTTAGCATAATGTCTTCAATACACCAACACCAAATAAATGTAAAAGTGTAGCATGTGTCAGAGTTTCTTTTTTTCTTTTCTTTTTTTTAATACAGTACTTTATTGATTTTTTACAGAGAAGAAGGAAGAGGGATAGAGAGTTAGAAACATCGATGAGAGAAATACTTTGATCAGTTGCCTCCTGCACATCTCCTACTGGGGATGTGCCAGCAACCAAGGTACATGCCCTTGACTGGAATCGAACCTGGACCCTTCAGTCTGCAGGCGGACGCTCTATCCACTGAGCCAAACCAGTCAGGGCAAAGAGTTTCATTCTCTTTTAAGATGAAGGCCACATATTGTTTGCAGTCATCCATCAGTTGCGGCAGTAAGAAACTGCACCAGGTGTTAGACCCATGGGGTCAATCCGGACCTGGGTTTAGCAACCTTGGTACTTGAGTTGTGGCTATGTAGGAATTCAGAGGCAAGACTCAAACTATAAAAGAACATTTATTTAGAAAACCACAGAGGTGGAAGTAATTCAGAGAAAAAATGGGCTGGAGAAACAAGTTAAAGAGGCAAAGTTCTTGGAGCTTAGAAGAGAGGAGGGTAAAGGTGATGCACCTGAGGGTGGGAGTGGGGAAAGCAAAGGGAAAGGCATGAGTGGTCCCCAGGGTAGATCTCAGTAGGACACACCAGCTTTCCAGGTGTGTCCTTTCAGGAGCTGAGTGATGGGTCAGCTCCAGGACAGGGATTATTCAGTGCAGCTGGTCCTGAGGGAAGCTGTGGCATTGCTTATCTGGTTTTGTTGCTTTTCTGGGCCAGCAGCTGAAATATAACTGAGGCCTAATGTTATTCCTAGAAGGAAAGGTCAGGGGGTCCAAACTGAATGGCCAGCAATATGCTAGGGGAGGAAAGGTCACCCTGGGGGCCAGGCCCCACCCTACAATTGTCCTTTGCCAGGCACCCTAGGATTTCTGCCTTCTGTACTTGGCCCTGCATCCCTGCTCTGCTCATGTCTAACTGCCTATAACAGTAAATTGGGTTATACCTCAGATTGTCTCCTTCAGGGGCAAAGGGGCTGGAGTACTTATCAGCTATGGGTGAGATGTGTTCAGACATTGCCAGCTCCCCTGTGCATGTGGGCAAAAAAAGTTCTGGAAGCTTGAGGTTTCTCCAACAAAAGGATCATGGGCATTGGCTGTTGGAGTTGAGGCATACTGAGCATGTGCATAAAACTGGTCTAAGGATTCAAGCAGAGCTTCTGCTACAGGTCAAAAAGATAGTATGTATTCTGCAGATAAGAACAGATAGGTAGGGGTAAGGGTCAGGTGAGTTTGTGTCAACCATACTGTCTAATAAAAGAGTAATATGCAAATTTACCATCACTTCAACACACAAGATGGCCGCCCCCATGTGGTCAAAGATGGCCACTCCCATGTGGACGCAAGATGGCTGCCACAAGATGGTCAGCAGGAGAGGGCAGTTGAGAGGGACCAGGCCTGCAAGGGAGGGAAGTTGGGGACAATCAGGCCAGCAGGTGACTGGGCCAGCAGAGGAGGGAAATTGGGGGCAACCAGGCCTGTGGGGAGGAAAATTGGGGGCAACCAGGCCTGTGGGGAGGGGGAAGCCATGCCTCAAGGGAGGACAGTTGGGGGGTCCAAGGCCTGCAGGGGACGGCAGTTGGGGGGGGGACCAGGCCAGCAGTGGAGGGCAGATGGGGGTGACCAGGCTGGCAAGGGAGGGCAGTTAGGGGTGACGGGGCCAGCAGGGGAGGACAGTAGGGGCAATTGGTCTGGCAGGGGAGCAGTTAGGTGTCAGTCAGGCTGGTAAGGGAGTGGTTAGGGAATGATCAGGCTGGTAGGCAGAAGTGGTTAGGGGCAATCAGGTAGACAGGCAAGTGATTGGGAGCCAGCAGTCCTGGATTGTGATAGGGATGTCCAACTGCCCATTTAGACCTGATCCCAGTGAGCAGTTGGACATCCCTCCAGGGGTCCCAGATTGGAGAGGGTGCAGGTTGGGTTGAAGGACACACTCTCTTCCCCTATGCATGAATTTTATGCATTGGGCCTCTAGTTTAATATTTAAAAAAAAAAACATGACAAGAGAACTTTGTATCAAAACTTTATTTATTAAACAAAAAATGCACCATTGGAATACCATTTCTATAAAAAATGAATATGAGACTGTTCTACAGTGATTACAAAACCCCTTTTCCTCGAGTAGTAGTATACAAGATCTTGTAGAAACAGTCATTGTTTTAAACTGTAAGCAAGTCTCCTTTCTCATAGAACAAGATTTACACTTAAATATTGCAATCACTAGTCTAATTTGGTTAACAATTCTAGAGTCTGACAATTTAAAGAAATTCTTTGTAGGCTCAAAATACCTTTTTTTTTTTTTTTCAAAGGTGTTTTGTTGCCACAAAAATTTTCTTTTTCTACGAAGGCTAGTTAAAGCTGTAGTATACCCATTTCTACCAAATAAACCTACCACTAGCACATTAACAATTTGCTCGAATCGCAAAGCCCTTAGAGAGGATGAGTAGCATTGGTCTGGGAAATGCTATCAGCACATTTCTGGGGTGCTGCTGTCATGTTTGAATGACCCCAAAAAGGGAGGAGGCGGAGGTGATGGAGCTTCGGTGGAGGCTTTGCCTGGGCTACCCTCATACTCAGCAAGTGGACAACTCATCCAAACTGGTCCCTCTGAGACATGGAACACTGCAGCTTTAACAGCTTTATCTAAATTCCCAACCAGATCTCCTTTTTTCCACCCCCCATAAATTATCCAAAAAGAAGCCACTCTAAATAATAAATTAAATATTACTTATAAAAAGTACACCCCATACCCAACCCACCCAGCCCCCAAACAAGCTGACAATTCAAGTTCAGAATTGTCAGGTTTACCCTACAACAATAAAAAACAGCGCTTCTCCTCCTCCCCAACATTCCTTCCTCGCATCTGAAAATACTTTCAGCACAATGACTTCCCTCGGCCCATGTGTCCGTGTTTCGGACATGTGGTAGAGTTTTGCTGTTGCTCTCCTACCGACCCCACATCCTAGGATGACAATGTACGAAGGGTACATTGGAGGGCAGGAGGAGAAAACTTTCTGAGAGTGCCTCTTGAAGCATGCCACGTGAGCATTACCTGGCAGCAGGCCGTGGGCAGGGCAGAGGAGACCTTCGCTGTTGCTGTGGGTGTGCTGTTGGTCTCCTCCATAATCTCACTGACCAGGAAACATGCAGGCATTTCTTTTCAGGATCAATACCTTTTGAAAACAGCTACTTGGGCTGCAAGTGACACTGAGACACGGGGTGCATACTTTCCAATAGAATGGAATAGTATCCAAAACAATCTGTGATTTCCCCAGCTATCCAATTTCATTTAAAACATGAGAATCCAGGGGAAAGGGTTTCTGTAAATTGTTCAAGTGATTCCTGAAAGTTGCTAGAGAAATATGAATTGTGAGTCAGGGGCTGCTCTGGAATAATTTAAAAAAAAAAAGGGAGATTGCAGGTCTGAGTGTAGGAGAGCTGCCGTAGCTCCAGAATGTGGTGGGCTCGGTGTTGGGATGCTAACCTGGCCTTCCGGGTGGTCTGCGGTTGCATGAAGCAAATGGTAAGAGGGAGGAAAAGCAATCTTGTCCCACAGCTGTTGCAAAGTTCAGATGATTTTGTTTTCTAAAAACATATAAAATTAGGGATTTTTTCTTTTCTTTTTCCCCCCCCTCAAGACTAAAAATAGACACTCTAAAATTATAAGAAATCTGAGTCTGGGCTACAATTTTATAGAAAATGGAAAGGTGATCTCTTTATCGGGGACTTTTTTTTGGTCAGAATTACAGTCCTACCTCCATATGTGAGACACTCTATTAAAAGTGGAGAAGAACTGCTCTAGCTGGCATGGCTCAATGGATAAAGCATCAGACTGTGGATTGAAGGGTCCCATGTTCAAGGGCACATGCATGGGTTGTGGGCTCAATCCCCAGCAGAGGGTGTGCAGGAGGCAGCCGATCAATCATTAGCTCTCATCTTTGATGTTTCTCTCCTTCTCCCTTCCTCTCTGAGATCAATAAAAATATATTTAAAAAATAGAGAAGACCTGAAGATGTTTCTTTAACCAAAGGCAACAGACAGATGAATCCAAAGGGTGGAGAACCCTGGCTGGTGTGGCTCAGTTGGTTAGGCATCCTCTTGTACACCAAAAGGCTGCTGGTTAAGTTCCCAGTCAGGTTACATGCCTGGATTGTAGGCTGGGTCTCAAAATGCTTCTCTCACATTGATGTTTCTCTCTGTTTTTCTCCCTCTCCCTTCCTCCCTGTCTCTAAAAGAGCAATAAACTATAAAATGGAGAAGGGATAAAAATGCACAGACTACAAAAGCTTCCGGAAAGACCTGTACTTAGAGATTATTTATTGGAAAAGCCAGTGAGTGCCAAAGCTTGATATGCTTATTTTTTTTTCCAGATTGCTCAAATGAATTGTGTATTTTATAATACCCAAATGTAAAGTTCCATTATTTAAATATCTTAGAAGCTTCTAACTCTGTTTTACATGGAGATAGCTATGACTGGTTTCTTACTGAATGCGAATCACTGAGAAATACTTAACTTTTGGCTAGAGCATCATCCAAATATGCCTTACGCCTTTTGAACTACCTACTAGCTTTATCAGAAAGAAATGCAAAATAAAAATACCAAAAGTTTTCAAGAGGCGGTTCTTGCCAGATAGGGCAGCACAGGGCAGGGGAAGCTCGAGCATGCCCTGCCACGTTTGATTTGCTCCTTTTGCAGGGAGAAGGGAGTCCTGGCGGCAGCATTGCTGGATGGCTGTCACACATCGCCCTATGGGAGTCAGATTTATGAGCTTCAAGAGCCCTGTATGTCATGAGCTAGACTCAGAGTAGGAGCAAATTTGAGGCAATCTTGCAGTATTCCTAAATTTCTTCTTGTCAAGAGATCAGGGGATTGGGGAGTTTAAAAGTCAACTGTAAACTTGGTCAGGCAGTTGGACACATATGTGAGCTATCTGAGTGGGGAACAGAGTTGTATGGGAGTTGTGGTGAACTCGTATATTGAAATCACTGGATAAATCACACAAGAGTCTCTCGAGATCATTTAAATGGATACTTCTTTACATTCACTGCATGGATCTGAGGCATATTAGCATCGCCAATAATTACTAAAATGAACCATTATATTTTGTTTCGAGAGCATGCATCAGAAATATACCTCCCACTGAAAACCATGTGTATTTTTGTGTATTTAAAAAATGTTATTTCCTAAGGTCAATGACTTTGATTTGAAGAGTCTAGAATTTTGTAAACATGCTAGTTGTCTTTATTGTCCAGATGCAGCCTACAGATTGAAGATAGGACTCAACCCCTGAAGTCTGAGATCGGCAGTCTATTACAAACAGCATTCAGGGTGGCTTTTCCTGCATGTCAAGTGCCTTGCTTGTGAATATTAGAAATGGAGAAGCCATTTGAAGACACCGAGAAGGTAAGACTAGCCTACTGAGCATTTTCTCTTTTGAAGTAATGAATTTTTTATGGAAATTCATATGAAATGCCTTGTTCCAGGTCAGTGAGTCCTGCTAAGCGCTCAGATGTTAAATAAGAGTAATACAGCCCGCAGAATAACGCCACGTAGCTCTTCAGAAGGACTTCAAGAAAGTCTTAGTAAATTGAACAAGCACTCTTATTGAGGGAATGATTTCATCAATGGACCGGACTTCCTCATGAACAATTTCAACAAGCCCTCTCTCTCTGACACCAGATTTCCTTCCCGACATAAAACTGTAAAAAAATAATCTGAATTATTACTTCTGTTACAGTGCCATTTTGCTCAAAATAGTTCATTCAGGGATTTGTATATAATTACCCACCTAATAAAAGGAGCTATTAGGTTGTAAAGATCCCATCCCTTCCATGCTCTTTTAAAATTATGACCTACTCAAGCTTGAAATCAAAGGCAGAGCTGAAAGGAATAATTCAGTGGAAACTCTCCTATTGGGTTTTCAAGTTGCCGAACTGATAAATATGCAAACTAGCTCTCTTTTGGCAATTTCACTGCATAAACAGGGATTAATTCCAAATGCAGCTGAAAATTCAGAAACTAAAAGGTTGTACTCAAAATGTTTTTAATTTCACGTAGTTCCCAATGGTTGATAGACAGGGCAATAAAAGTTTACAATTCTAGCTCACAATGAAGATGCAGCTTTGACAAGCAGCTACTGGAACTTGGATGTGTCAGAGGTGTCCAGTGGCTTCTGACCCTCTGCTCCTCTCTGACTCTGGGAAGCTGGGGGCAGTGGGTGGGGGTTGGGGTGGGGATAGGAGGTCCCCTTGACAACAGGGCCCTTGGTTGCCACTTACCAAAACTGCCTACTCTAAGCCAGTGAGAGCCCTGTTGGTGGAAGTGACACCAAGTCAAGTGATATTTGAAACTGCCTTCCATCTTCCTTCCCTTCCTCAGGGCTCTCAAGGAGTCTGCCATTTCTGCAGAAGGGTTCAGGAACCTTGGTCAGGAGGCCATGCGATGTGTGGAGCTGGCCACCTGGCCCAAGGCTGGCTGCCAAGGAGAACTCAGGGAGGGACAGGGAGGAAGGGGAACTCTTCCAGCCAGACTCCTGAGGAAGATGGCCTGGGTGAATCTTTGAAATGTCATCACAGTGTGGTATGGCCCAAAAGCCACCCAAATCGAAGAGTGTCCTATTATGGCCTTAAGCACATAATTACCACGTGTCTGAGAAGACTGCATATTTTATCCTCTTACAGGAAATAGACTGCTGCCATGGGTGCAGACTTTCATGTCCCTGTTCTCCAGACATAATGTGTTAACCATGGGTAGATTCACAAATACTTGCTAAAAATGGGTGAGCGTTACAGCCACTTGCTAATACCCACCACCTGGGCAAGAGGAATGACTAAGTTACAAAACACAAGCATTGGCTGCCTTTTGTTTGTTCACTTGTTGACTTTTTGTGCTGTCAGAAAAACTTCCAATCCTTTGGTGCTATGTAGAGAGAATTCCTGTGGGTGCTTTGAACTTGTAAGTTGCAAATGAAAGCGTGAACTTGCACTGGTTTGCCATGGCATGGTACAGGCTCAAGTAATGCACTTGCATTTTGTAAGACTAGACCTACACATAACGAGATGACAGGCCTGGATGAAGGAAACATAAGCATTAGCTGTGACAGTGAGATCACTGTGGTGGGAAAGACCCAGGACTATTCTTGCAGCTTCAGCTCTGACAGTGCGGTGCGGACTTGTCCTTGTGTTTGTGGAGGGACACCATTGTCATCATATTTGAATTCCTGATGCCTGTGCTAGAAGGGACTGTTGCTTCTCCTCCTGCACTGCTTCAGGTTATTCTGGAACTGAGTGGTCCTGATGGTTGTCCTGTGCACTGGTGGGAGTTCTGGAACACAAATGTGCTGTTGATGGGTACTTGATACGCTGTAAAATTCCCGGAAAATTCACCCATCTACTCGGCAATGGGTGTTAGAAGGCCGAGCCCGTGATGGCATTAAGCTGCTTCATTAGCCCTTCCAAACTTGCCATTTGTTCACTCAAATCATCCTGTTCGTACACCTGCAGAAAGGACAAGAGAGCAAAGTGTTAGTATAAGTCCGTGGTTTAGCCTCTTGAGTGTGGCTCTTCTACAAATTCCATGGCCTGGGCGAGTCTATTTTGAAGAAGTGGCATTAGAAGAAGTTTAAGTTTAAAAAATTTGGCTCTCCAAAGAAATTTCAGTGGTTGTACTGTTGATATTTGGTTCCGCTGACTAATGAGTTTGCTGACCACTGGAATAGATGAATAGCCACACATTCTTTTGCGAAGACAGGGGCCATGTCTAGCTGGTTCACTCTGTATTCTCCAGGGAGACACAGTGGCCCATAATCAGGGGCTGTGCTCAAAATATAATCATTAATGGGGATACTAGTAAAAGGTGGTGATGAATGATTGCATACTCTTTCACCAGCTTCATCCCTGTAGTGAGGAAAAAGCTTTAGAGTGAAAAAAATACCTTGTTTCAAATCAAGATCTAATAATCAATAGTTATGTGGTCTTGGACAAGTTAGGAGACCTCTCTGGTGTATATATATAGTTCTCTGCTATATATAAAATGATAACAGCATCTATTCTATAGGCTATTCTGAGCATCTTGTGGCATGTTCGGTGCCTATCACAGTACAGCACGAGGTACACTTTCAATACATTAGCTCCTTTTCTTTTAGAGGCCCCCATGAGGATCTGAGCAGAATTACATCACTAAGTTTCTTTTCTTTGTAACCCAACCTAGGCACCCTTTTGTGTGGGAACTTGATGGGCTTTGCCTTGACCAATGAAAAGTCTGAGGATTATGGCATCAGTTTATAGGTGGAAACAAAATTCTCACTATAATCAGAGTTGGCTCTATGCGCAGTTGTGAAGGTAACCTTATGGCAGGATTTTATTGGTGTATAAAATGAAGAGTCTATCTAGACTGCAGGATTCTTAGTGAACCTACTCTGTATAGCTCTCACTGTGAGTCGCTAGCACCACGTCATTAGTAATACCAGACTATCAGCTATCAGGGATTTGGTTCAGTAGGTCTACAAAGGGTTAGAATCTCTCAATCTCCTCCATCTCACAGAGTATCTCATAAGTCAGTTCCTTGGCCTTCTTTTAAATGTTTTCTCTTGAATTATATTCAGAAACACTCTACAGTTTTCTAAACTGCTGCCTTTAGGCAATACTTTATAAAACACTTCGTAGTTCTCTCAAAATTTAGATTATGTTGTTTTCATGGATTTTCTTTCTGAGTTTTCTAATTTAATCACTTTTTAGCTTCTTCCCTTAGTACACATTTTATCTCATTAAAGAAACTTCCCCTTTTACTTTCCAAATATGTCAGTTCCTTCTTTACTTCCTTCTTAAAAATCCTTTCCTTCATTTTTATGTGTAATTTCTTCTTCTCAATTCCACATTTCTATTGATGATTTTAAGTAAAATCACACACACACACACACACACACACACACACGCACACACACTTCACTTATGTCATTGATGAGTTCTGCAACTTTAAGTGAAATCACATATGAAGAAACTAATTTAATTATAGCTAATTGACACAAACAAGTGTTCAATTCTTATGGCATCTCATCAACATTATAATGAAACAACGCTGAAAGAAATGATATTTAAGGACCTGGTATACATATTATATATGAAAATATAATAACATACAAACACACATAGATACCTATTATATAGATATGTATGTAAAGTCACACATTCTGTAGCTACCACATGTATTCTAGGATTGCCTTTAAGTACCAGTAATTTTTAAATTTAATTAAATCCCACCTACAATCTTCTCTTAGAGTTCAAACTCTTCTCATTCAAGTGCATAAAAACAGAACAAAACAAACAACAGAGCAATAATGGTTGCGGTTAATGGAGAGTTCTAGTTGGGTTAGGCTCAATCACACAGTCCTAGGCCCTGCTTCAGGTGACACAGTGGGAATTTCGGGGTGGAGGGATGCTCTTACATTGGCTGCATCCTCTGTTGGTTTGTGGCTCTCTTCAGACACTTCAGGGGCCGTTGGCACAGACACAGGAAGCAAAGGAGACCTTGCCTTCCCTGCCAGCCCAAGAGAGGCTGTCTTCACATGAGTCTTAGGAAGAGCAGGCCCTGAAAGAGAAAGCACAGTGACAGTGACAAAAGGAAGAGATGAAGCAGCCTGGCCATCAATCTCTCAAGCATGGAAGCCCAATCCAGAGGGTTGGCATTGATCTTAGGCTATTGTGCCTTATGTGGTTTAGAGATGAATTCTGACACCGTGAATGGGCTCATTTAATTGCTACTAAATGCAGACAGGTTCTGATTAGGTGCCTCCAGATGAAGCTCCACCATCTCATGTAATTTCAAGTGGATTTCAAATCATGCTAAGCAAGGTTGCCTGGGAGCTTGGGCTGTGCGTCATACCCTAGGAAGTGTCAGGCAAGCTCTTTTGGTGTCAGTCTCCGCTTTGGGCCAGAAAGCCTGGTGCTAAACCACCTACATAAGCCCCAAGATATTGAATAGTACCATAGACTCTGTGCAGTTTAAAGAAATCCTTGCTCTGACCTATAAACGAGTATTAGATATTATATTAATAGTAAAAAAAAAAAAATAAAAAGAGAGAGAGAGAGAGTCCTTCATGGCTAACCTGATAAAATCTCATTACTAATTATCTTTAGGGAAAAAGCAAAATATTATTCTGTCCTGATCAGTACAGTTTCTCTCAATAAAATACATTCCAAAGTTCATGCAAATTGTTTGAAGAATTGCTGAGCTACTTCTAGATAACATTTCTGTCTGCTGTGAGCAATGGCTATTTTTTCCTTTTGAGTCTGAAATCTGCCTTATGAACTCTGCTTAGCTTATAGCAAGAATATCATTCTGTTCCTATAGCCTAAAATAAAAAGTTTATGAAGGCTAGTATACCTCATGCATTGTAATCAAGCATCATAACTAAGACCTAAGCATAGGAGATATTGAATTAAATAATTAAAAGAAGTTTGCTTCACCCTGGCTGGTTTGGCTCAGTAGATAGAGCACATGTGTCAAACACAAGGCCCGCGGGCCAAATCCGTCACGCCAGGCCTTGCAATGTGGCCCGCACCGCGCTGTCATCACTGCACTCCGCTGCGTTTCCATCACAATGACAGTTTATGACTGTTCAGTAAACCATTTGGCCCGCGATTTAGGCTGGATTTTAGATTTTGGCCCCTTCTCTGATTGAGTTCGACACCCCTAAGATAGAGCATCAGCACACAGACTAAGGGTCCCAGGTTCGATTCCATTCAAGGGCACATACCTTGGTTACAGGCTCAATCCCTGGCCCTGATCAGGGTGCATGCAGGAGGCAACCAATCAATGTGTCTCTCTCATTCTCTCCCCCTCCCTTTCATTCTCTAAAAGTCAATGGAAAAATATCCTGGGATGAGGATTAAAAAAAAAAATTGCTCATTTCTATCATCAGTGATATTTGAATTCTAATGATTCCAATCCCATACTCTATATTTAAAGGGAAAAAGTTGTAAGTTGTTTTGATCATATTTGGAAATGTAATTCCAGTTAATAAAGCTCAAAATTTATTCTACAGTCAGAGAAATAGGTAGCATTTACTTCTTGGGAAAGAAAAAATGCAAATAGTTGGGCCAGCATGGCAAAGTGATTGAGCATTGACCTATGAACCAGGAGGTCTCAGATTGATTCCCTGTCAGGGCACATGCCCAGGTTTCAGGCTTGATCCCCAATAGGGGATGTGCAAGAGGCAGCCAATCAATGATTCTCTTTCATCATTAATATTTTTGTCTCTCTTTTCCTCTCTGAAATCAATGACAACAACAACAACTATATATATATATATATATATATGATGCAAACTGTCTAGTAGGCTGGCAATAAATGAGAAATCCTAACAAAAGCACTTTTCTCAGACCATGGCCTAACATGTAATTCCTTCATATTTACATTCTTTCACTCTTTCCTTCAACTTCAAGGATCATAAGTCTGCAGTTGGAATGATTTATCACTAGAGGGTGATCTATACACCCTCCAATCCTATCCAAATAGTACAATTTGAATAAACATCATTGATGTAATGTGATGAATGCGGTTGTTGGGCTAAAAAAATGGCCACATAAATTTGATACTGACTGCTATGTCACAAGTCATTTTGGATTTGTCACATATGCTCAGTTCTCACTACCAATTTTCTCCGGTTGAACAATAGGCATTCTTCCAGAGACTGTAATGCCAGCTGGTCTTCACTCGATATGAATAAACCACTTGTACATTAAGCCCACCTCTACCCTTTTCTCTTTAGTCTCTGACTATAAACACACTGTTCCCGGAGCCAATTTAGCTGTAATCCCAAATACAAAGGCAGGCCCTAAAACCCTGGTAGAGGTGCTAAGAAAGGGATTTCCAGATGATCTAACACATGCAATAACATTAATATTGTAGGTGATTCATTAAGTATAAGGCTTAAGAGTTTAAAGGGGAATTTTCAGGGAGCATTGGCAAGGCTTGAGAATGTATCTATGGAACTCCCACTGTGAGTTGCATTTTCTGATTGACTTTTATAGTTCCTTCTGGAATGTTTACAATGTTCTGCTTACACCTGAGTTTAGTTTTATTGCCATGGAAAGATGCTCCTTCTAGCATAGTCCAGGTGCCATTTCTTCCTTCCCTGTGTTTCAGAGAACAGCTGCTTTTTAACAACATTTCCTGTACATATATTTTATATTATATAAAATGTATAATTTTATATATTATACATTTTATATAATATAAAATATAAGTTTTTGCTACAATTCGGACTCAGAGTTCCTGGATGGTGAAACCCACTTATTTTGTTTATTTTTAAAAATTTTAAATAAGCTAAACTATTTCTGAAAAAATATAATTTAACTCTTAACTAAACACATAGACTGTGTGTTTAACATATATTGCAAATCAATTCATTTAACCTAGATAAATATAAAGAGAGTGACACAAGAAAAGCAAATGGTATGAGCATAGCTGATTATATAAGCAATTCAAATTCTTATTTTATATTAGGCAATGTATAAGAATACATTTAGACTTCATCAGACTGTTCTACATAAATTCCTAATATTTATTTGACTATTTTTTGTAGTTTTATATGTAGAGAAATTATAGTTCTTATAAAAATATATTCTGATGACATATTTTTTGCCCACGATCCTAAACATCACAGTGCATATACTGTGTGTATGCAGGTATGCCTAAAGAGCACCATAACTCAAACCCAGTAAAGAGAAGATCATTATAATAATTGATTGTCTCTAGTGTCCAGGCAACAATTATACATTTAGAACCTTCTGAGTGTTGAACAATGCAAAAGACACAGTGCGTTTTGCAAAAGGAATCAAAGACATTGTCTTGACTCAAAGACCACACAATGTGTTTAAACCTCAAGTGATTGCCTTTTCTCAAGTAACATTCACACATTCAAAGAAATTTAGAATGCTGAAACCTTCCTGGCTCTTTATTTTGTTGAAGAGAACACTGAGGTCCCTGGAGATCAAGGTAGAATTAATTTCAATTAAATTCCAGTACAGGAGGAGAATTTAAAGAGTCTCTGAGAGCTCATTATTAGCAAGGTTTTTCTAGTGTACTCTATGCCCTGAAATATTTTTCTTTCATTTTAATGAATGAAAGTCAAAGAAAAGACTACAAGGAGAATATCCCAGGAGATATTGTCAACAGCCAATAGGACAATCTAGGTCTCAAAATTACCTTTTAGTAGAAGGGAATGGATGTTTTAAAACAAAGTTTCTCTTGAAATCATCCTGTGTTGGGAAGCTGACACCAAGACTTGGCTCTTGAGTGAGCACTCACTCTGACCTATGCTGTGGAGTTATGCTGATATTGGAGCAGATTCAGCATTTTCTATTCTGAACCTCAGAAGCTTTAAGCTTGGACACTGGCAAAGCCTAGGTCCTTAAAAGCCTACCAAGCTGTGCTCTTTCTTTCACTTATGTACAGTAGTTTACCATGTGTTACTGGCTCCTGTCCTCATTCCTGTTCTCCCACTAGTCTGTGAGACATGTCTTTAATCCTTCAACGCATGTCTGAGACCTTATCAGTGGCCTTTCCAAAAGGCTAAATTCTGAACCCATTTTCTGTACCATTGAAACCAAACAGACATCTATATATATAAAAGGCTAATATGATAAGTGTTCTTCCCACTGTCCAACTGGTTGCTATGATGTGTACTCACCACCAGGGGGGCATATGCTCAATGCAGGAGCTGTGATGCACACTTGCCATTTACAGAGAAATGGCAGTGCAGACCTGGCCAACAAAGCAACACTCGGCTTTCCCCAAGTGGGACACAGACCTCACCACCACTCTGGAGTGACAGCCCACCAAATCCCAGCCAAGGCTGAGATTCCATGGCCAGCCCAGAAATGGTGGCTGTAGGCACTGGATAATGATGCCACATAGTAATGCCTGGCTTCCCCTCCCTAGCAACTAGCCTCCTTACAGTTTCTTCAGCCCAGGAACACGACTTGTGTTATAGCCAGGTGCAAACATTTTACACTTTAAATAAATATCTATGAAGCTTTCCCCCTTGTATCCTATCTCATTTAATCCTCACAGAAGTCCTGGAGAAGATAAATAGGAGATTTGGTGGAAACCTATTTTCTTTTCATTAGCTGGAAAATGGAGATTTAGAAAGTTTAGAAAGTTGAACCTACTGAAAAGAAGTAAGAAATGGTGGATCTTGAAAATGACTTCAGGTTTTCTCACTGCACTGAATATAGTCAAACACTGCTGCAGTTAAATATTTTATCCTTTGTTCTCCCTGCGTGATCTATAATTATGATATGCTTCATGTTGACATTTATTGCTGTGTTGCTGACACTTACCTGAAAGAGAAGTTGGGGTGCTTCACTGGACTGGAAAAAGTTAAGTTAAATCAGAAAGCAGGTCTAATTAAGCAAGCTTATCTCTATCTATCTATCTATCTATTTATCTATCTATCATCTATCTAATCTCATCTCGCTGGTGCCAATCTCATGCATGTTTCTATCTGTCACTGTGGATTGTGAATTTGGTTGCTACTTCTATTATAGAGAAAGGGCGAATAGCAATATTAAAATATTTCTTCT